TAAGCATTTCTATAGCGTTTGGTGGGGGCCAACTACACTATGGGATAAAGTGAGTATTTAAATATTTTGGCAAAATACATGCACTTTGGTCCTTGATTTTGTGATTGTGTAGAATGGTTCTTGAACTTCATTTGTCTTAAAATTCACTCTCTGAGTGTGGAGAGAGGAAAGAAATCAAAAAGAGAGAGAGAATTCCGACGGACTACATTGAATCATGAAATTCGACGATTTTGGTGTCTATTTGTTCGTCTTTTCGAAAGAAGTTTGTTGACGGTGGTTCAACTCCCTTTGCGGTCGGAAAACAAAGATCAAGGCTCAAAAAAATAAATGAATTTGATTTGTTTTGAAGAGTTTTTATGGTGAATTGAAATGCTTTTTAAGATTAAAAAACGTTATATAGAAACCAAAATGGAGTTATGGGATTTGAGAGGCCACAACGGACGGTTTTATTTTCTGTAGCAATGCTGTCCGAGCCTAAAAAACAAGCTGAAGAAAAAACCTAAGAAGTTTTTATTCATCTGCAAGTCCCTTGACTGGGCAGCTAATGTGGCATTTACAATACAAGAAATTTAATGATAGAAACTAAACACCAACTTTGTTGAACATTTAACATTCCCAAACATGATTTTATTGTTTCCTTCAAACATTCAGACAGACAAAGCAGTCTTCTTTTTCATGCATCCATGCGGATGATACACCTGAGACCAGCTCCACTGAGCATGTACTCAAAAGCCTTGTTGATTTCTGAGAAAGGGACTTCATGGGTGATGAATTTCTCTAGCTCAAGCTCCTGTCACATTACAACTACTGAGCTCAACAATTGAATATATAGAATGCATCAAAACCAAATAAAGCATAGCCACTGATTTGTTTCTTTAGACAAGAGTTCGCAAAATTTAAGCAATGACGCTAAGCCTGGGTTTGGTATTGTGGTGGAACCAGCTCTCACATTTACAAAACCATTGGTACATTTCGCTAGTGGCAGCCAGAGCTGTGTCCACAGTATATGCTATTTACATTGCACTAGCAAAGAAGGCTAAGAATTTTCATTCCCACTAAGCAATTTGATCATTTAAGTTGATATTTTGACTAATTTTACCTTGCAATTTCATCAAAGAAATACTCAGAGGCAATAATTCTATTTCACATGTATAAACACAGAATATATGTGCATACTGCATAGGAAGTAAGATCAGTAAATAATCGCCGTTGCATAACATAACGGCCATTACATGATGGTTTTGGAGCATCCCGTTACCATTATTTGGCGTTAGATAATGGCAGCAGCCGTTATTTTACTGTTGTGGCAAACCATTTTACTATTGTGGTAAACCACGACCTGGTATCGCGACTGCGACCGTTTTCTCAAAGTGTTCGTGATTTAAAACTATAATGGGAACTCAGATTTACCTTGTTCATGTACTTTTCGACAACTGAAGGAAGGTCGGAACGCGGTTTATAGTTGCCAAAGAAGGTACCCTTGAGAGTCCTCTCATTCAGGAGATTCATTGGATGGGTTTTAAAAGAATCATCTTTGTTTGGCACACCAACAAGTACAGCCACACCCCATCCCTGCAAAGAAAACAAAACGTCCGGATCCAGAGTGTTAAGCATATTAACCAGTGTTTTTCATTTCTTACTTTCAATTCAATGACTAAAGAGAACTCATCGATACTTACATCATGGACACATTCAAATGCAGAAATCATGGCATTGACACTTCCAGTACACTCCACACTTCGGTCCACTCCTCCATTGGTCATTTCAGCAATCACCTACAGACAGTAGATCAAAATTAGAACAGACTTAAGAGATTCATACACGATCATTTCTCCAAATATGATTCACTATCTCACTAACCTCTTGAACAGGCTTGTTACAATCTTTTGGGTTTACAAACTCTGTGACACCAAATCTCTTAGCTGTTGAGAAACAACAGTACAAATGAACATCAGAAAGCAGTTATAAATACAACAGAGAGAATGCGACTTGAGGGGCAGTGTGTTCACCAAGATTCCACATAATAGCCACTAAATTTTATCAGTTTCAAAATATAGGCTATTTGACTGAGCTGGATACTTGGTGGCTACAAACAAATACATTGGATTTTGATCCCAGTAAATGCTTCTCTCACCTTCATTGAATCTATTGGGATTCAAATCTACACCGATGATTCTTGAAGCACCGGCAATTCGGGCCCCTTCAGCAGCCTATAATGTAGAAAAAACAACACAAACAAGTTCTGCATCAGTATCCGCATTCTGAATAGGAAAATTGCTTACTAAGGTAGTATTGTAAAAGAAACTTACTGCAAGGCCTACAGCTCCTAGTCCAAAAATGGCTACCGATGAGCCTTTCTTTGGCTTTGCAACATTCAAGGTGGCACCAAGACCTACAAGTCAAAAATAAAAAAAATTAATAATCTTCATTACAAGAAAGCTACAAATTCTTCATCCACAAAAGCAAAATTGAATTGAATTTTGTCCCTAACCTGTAGAGATTCCACAGCTGAGGACACAAACTTTGTCAAGAGGAGCAGCAGGATTGATTTTGGCAACACAGCCAACATGTACCACAGTGTACTCACTAAAGGTTGAGGTACCAACAAAATGGTAAATGGGCTGCCCTTTGATTGAAAATCTAGACTTGCCATCATTCAGCATCACACCTCTGTCAGTGTTAATCCTAAGAAGATCACACATATTACTCTCCTCTGATTTGCAATGTCGGCATTCCTTACACTCTCCTGTGAAGACGGGAAGCACATGATCGCCAGGTTTGAGGTCTGTCACACCTTCACCAACACTTTCAACAATCCTATAAGGCCCAAAAATAAAAAAAAATAATAAAAAAAAAAGGTTACCCCAATCCCTGACAATCAAAACAAAGAATAGTTCGTTTAAGTACAAAAAAGTAATGGACTAATGATGGCTCAAATTCATACCCTCCTGCTTCGTGACCAAATATGCGAGGAAACAATGGGGTTTGCCCCTGTAATTTGACAAATTAACCATGTTAATTATAGTGTCAATCTCTAAAAATACAACCAAAACCCCAGATTGTAAAATAAAATCGAAATAGAAAATGTGAATCACCTTGGCTTCCCAGAAGTAAACATCCGTATGACAGAGGGAGGTGAAGAGGATCTTCAAACGAACCTCCATAGCTTGAGGAGGAGCGACCTCCACTTCTTCAATCACTAGTGGCTTCGCAGCTTCCCATGCCACAGCAGCTACAGATTAAGCAAAACACATTCAGTTATTGCCAAAAAAACAAAATGGCAACAGCACAAAGAACAAATCACAAACCCCACAAGGAAAAAAGAAAACAGTATCATAAACTTTCGAGGTTACCTTTGCAACGTATGACTTGACCAGCGGTGCTTGACATATTCTTTCTTGTCTTAAACGAACTTTAACAGCTTCTTTTTAAGGCTTCTTTGATTACTTTGCTCTGTTTCTTGAGTTGTGAAGAGACAGGTTTGTCTTCGTAGGTATTTATAGTAGCGGAAGTATGCATGTCTGTCATGTTTTAAAGGTTGACCAACAATTTGAAGAATTTTAATTTTTAAATAGAAAACCGCTAACGATCACTGCTGTTTTGTTTGCCCTCTGTATCCTCTGTTTGCGTTTGGAACCTGCGGCTCCTTGGTTTTATGTTTTCCTGTTTCTGGTTTTGCGACTTTTCTTTTTTTGTTTCTGGTTTGAGCTAACTACAAATCTGTCCTCAAACTATGTTTTTATTCTTGTCAATAAAGTCTCAAAACTAACAATCATTTCAAATTCATCACCCAAATAGACGGTATGAACATTCAAGCTTTCCAATTAAATTAATTTTTCTTAAAAAAAAAAAAAATTCCTAACACAATGAGTATACTTTGATTAAAATTATTTCTAAGAAATTGTTTGACCAAAGTTAATTTAGTTAGATAGGTAAGATCGCCAAAAACGTGTATTATTTTCTATAACTAAGAAAACTGGGGCTTCCCTAGTAGGAATAGGATGCAACTAGGGACTTGATTTTTAAGTCACTGATAGTTAGATGGTAAAACTGCAAAATTTTGTAGTTTGGTATTGAATTTGAAATTTCTATCATGATAGGGGATTAATTTCTGATTAGCATTTGTGGTTTTATAGTTCCAGCTATGGTTTTGCAGTTTACCTTTGTCAATTTGCAATACAGTAGGATTCCAAATGCCCACGCTAATCTGCAGGACCAGCCAGTTATCATCAATTTGGTCAATAAATAAATAAAATAAAGTAATAATCAATTATTTTATAACAAAGTGCATTTGTTTCTTTATATAAATATGAATATTTAGAATATATATATCTTCAAATCAGATTTCGTGTTAACCAAAGACTAACTCAACCTCTTCGTGAGCTAAATCAATACGAGAACATTTAGCCTTTCGTCAACTGTTAGGCTTCTTTTTAAACCAAATAAACATAAATATGATATCACTAAAGAATAATTATGACTGATTATTTATGAATAATAAAAATTGAATTATGATTTTATCTAAATTAAAATAATTATCTCGTAGATAGACCACGTCTCTTGGTGAATAAAGATTTACATAAATCAAAACTATTTGACAAATGATGGATTATAATAAGATTTTTATCACTATGATGTGAGCTTCATAACGTGATTAATTTTATTCAAATGAATTAAATTCATGTGATAATGTCTAAGATCAAGAATTATTTTTAACATAAAGGTTATGTGGAATGATATATATATATATTTTACTGTGGTCTATTAATTTTTACAACATCCAGCTTTAGGTTTTAAGAAATTTTTTAGTTCCCCTGACAATCAACTCCACTAATTGACAGATGGGGTGTTCAAACTGAAGCAAAATAGAAACCTTGGAAAAGAAATAGTTTAGGGAGCAAATTGACAGATCCTCAAACAATGAGGGCTTTTTTCTATTTATCCAAAAAAATGTAGAAACTGGCTGGACAGGGACTATCTCCATCCTTAGTCTCACGCAAATGGAATCAACAGTCTCCTCCTTCTTCCTCCTCCTCCTCCTCTGTTTCCTCCACCGTTCTTCAGTCACGATATCAACCCCACCACCCACTTCAACCTCTACTTTCCCTAATGAAGCTCTGCCCACAAAATCAGGCTACCTGCCAGTCGAACCCAAAACCAACTCAGCAATTTTCTACACTTTCTATGAAGCTCAACGCCCAACTTCACCGCTCTCTCAAACCCCACTTCTCATCTGGCTCCAGGGTGGTCCTGGCTGCTCCTCCATGGTTGGAAAATTCCTCGAACTAGGCCCTTATCGTGTTGTTTCTGATTCTGAAGAACAAAACATCACTTTTCAACCCAATCTAGGATCTTGGAACCACATTTTTGGCCTCGTTTTCATTGATAATCCTATAGGAACTGGATTTAGTATTGCCTCTAAGCCTGAAGAGATACCAAGAGATCAAAGCACTGTTGCTAAGCATCTCTTTGCTGCAATAACTAGGTTTCTAGAATCAGATCCAATGTTCAAGACTAGGCCGATTTATATAACAGGTGAGAGTTATGCAGGGAAGTATGTTCCCGCAATAGGGTATTACATTTTGAAGAAGAATATGAAGTTGCCTGTGTCAAAGCAGGTGAATCTGAAAGGTGTTGCTATAGGAAATGGATTAACAGATCCTGTGAGACAGGTGATGACTCATGCTGTGAATGCTTATTTTTCTGGTTTCATCAACGAGAGACAGAGGAGGGAATTGGAGGACGGCCAAAGGGAGGCAGTTAAGTTAGTTAAAACGGGGAGTTGGAGTGAGGCGACAAATGCAAGAAGTAGGGTCTTGAATTTATTGCAAAACATGACAGGGTTTGCAACTTTGTATGACTTTACTAGGGGAGTGCCTTATGAGACAGGGTTGGTTACCAAGTTGTTGCAATCTGTTGAGGTTAAGAAGGCACTAGGTGCAAATGAATCTATAGTTTTTGAGCATTGTAGTAAAATGGTGGAGGCAGCATTGCATGAAGATTTGATGAAGAGTGTTAAGCATATGGTGGAATTCTTGGTCCAGAGGACTAAGGTATTGCTGTATCAAGGGCATCTTGATTTGAGAGTTGGTGTGGTTTCCACTGAGGCTTGGCTGAAGACAATGAAATGGGAGGAAATAGGGAAGTTTTTGATGGCTGAAAGGAAGATATGGAAAGTGAATGGTGTGCTTGCTGGGTATGTGCAGAAGTGGAGGAGTTTGAGCCATGTTTTGGTGTTAGGTGCTGGGCATCTTGTGCCTGCTGACCAGGCATTGAATTCTCAGGCTATGATAGAGGATTGAGTTTTGGAAAGAGGGGACTTTGCTGATGAGCAAGAGGAGGATGTTGCATCAGGATGCAATATGAAATGAGCAGCTGAATCAAATTCGCTTGGATATTTAAGGCTTTCAGCCAATTTTTTGTACTGAATATCAAGTGGGCAATCTTTGATCCCGTGACGTTTTCGCAACTGGATCAAGAAAATGAATGAAAATTGAGAACAATGTTATACTGTAATCTATAATGTAGTTCAAATCTAGCAAAACGCAAAAGCATGCCAACCCTTTCGCGTGCCTGATCTGTCGTAAGCTGCCTGCCTTGTTCATTGGGCTCTGCCCCTGATTCAGTGAAAACTAGCCCGGCACCCGCGTGTTGATGCGGGTAAATCTATTTTATCTATGTGTTAATATTTTAAATAATTTAAAAATAAAAATGTAAAATAAAAATTAATTAACGCAGATTGTTAAAAAAAAAAATGTTTAATATATATATAAAATTGAAAAATTGACAAAAAATCACTTTTTGGTTTTTGGAAAAACCATATTATAAATCCAGAGATACTGATTTTGTAAACCTATAGCAAGATTTCTTTGTATGCGAATCATTTACTGCTTGACATTATCTATTTGAATTCACCACTTTCTTAATTAGACTCTAATGAACTTTTAAACTGCGTTGTAGGAACCTGGAGAGACTGAAAACGACTTTGCTCAATTTGACGATGCAAAGATTATTAGATCTGTGTCTTCTACATACAAATTTCGGCCCAAACCAAATCCATTCCAAATACTTTTAAGAAATAGGACTCAGAGGGTTATCTGATCCTCCAAGTTTTCCCTGTGTGTTTTCAGAAGAAGATATCAGCTATTATGCAAAAATCAAAGCACCTGTTAAGTTTATCATAGGCGACCAAGACGTCAACTACCGTCTTCCTGAGGTAAATGCATACATACCCAACGGCGGGTTCAAGAAAGATTTGCTGCTTCCGGAAGAAGTGACTCTAAGGAAAGAGTAGCTCACTTTCCCAACCAAGCAAGGCCAGATGAAGTCAACAGACATTTTACGACTTTTTTCAAGAAATACCATGTTCCAGCAACTTGACCGCTTAAGAACAACATTGCTCCACCTGATCATTCATTGAAAACGAAGTGTGGGCTCTAGCTGATTAATTACTTAGTAAGAGGAATTCAAATCTGTGTTGTTTCTCTGTTTGTTGTCTTAGTTTCTTCTTGTTGTGAAATAAATGAACATGATGATTATCTTTAGTAACCAAAACAAGTCAAAACTTTCATTTATTCATGCCAGAAGTAGGCCTTTCTTGTACAAGAAAATTATAAGAGAAAGTGTTGTAGTAACAGCTTTCTTGACTATCAATCTGAAGCATGGAATTTATTGTTTCCTCTCACACTGATCAGAACAGACAGATCGCATTCTTCATTTATGCATCCATCCGGATAATACACCTGATGCTAGCTCCACTGAGCATGTAGTCAAAAGCCTTGTTGATTTCAGAGAAAGGGACTTCATGGGTGATAAATTTCTCTATCTCCAGCTCCTGAACATAATGCAACAGGGTGAGGATAACAAGGTTTTTGCATGATGCTAGAATGCTTCAAAACCAGAGGAATGGCTTCTTTGTTGCCTATGATAATGTTCTTAGCTTAACTATTAAAGATCATATTAGTTGATATTTTGAGAAACTTCACATACATGATTGCTTCCAATGCATGCTAATAGAAACTGTAATTCTAGTGGCTAGAGATTGATTAGTGAGGACTGAAGTTACCTTGTTCATATACTTCTCTACAACTGAAGGAAGGTCAGAGCGCGGCTTATAGTTTCCAAAGAAAGTACCCTTGAGTGTCCTCTCATTCAAGAGATTCATTGGATGGGTTTTGAAAGCATCGTCTTTGCTTGGCACGCCAACTAGTACAGCAACACCCCAACCCTGCAAAGAAATCCAAAATGTTAAACAGATTTAGGAGATCTAGGAGTTCTAAATGTCTTTGATTTTTCTTTCTTTCTTTTTCCCCCCTCTCAAACGGCTAATTCTTTCTTTCTTTTTCCCCCCTCTCAAACGGCTAATAACAAAAAATCTTCCCAGGAAATTACATCATGGACGCATTCGAAGGCAGAAATCATAGCACTGATACTTCCAGTACACTCAACACTTCGATCTACTCCTCCATCAGTCATCTCAGCTATCACCTAAAGACAGAAAGTCATAATTAGTGTGCAAGCAAAAGGTTCGTATGAACTCTTTCCTCCAAAACATGATTGATCCTCTTACAAACCTCTTGAACAGGCTTGTCATGATCTTTTGGGTTCACAAACTCCGTCACCCCAAATTTCTTTGCTGTTGAAAGAAAATACACAAATGAACATCAGAAATCAGTTGTATATGCATAGCATAGTAAGCATTTCCTTTGTCAGAGTACAATCAAAGACACAACATGATATGCAATATGTTAGCACTATCACCAAGAAGCAACAGCAAATCTACTTTGACAATATCAATTATCAGTTTCATCTTAGCAAGTTAACAGTGTTAAAGTCCTCTGTGCAGAATCCTGTGTTACTATTATGAATATCATTTTGATCCTCTTTTTATTTTTTTCCGGTGTTTGAGTGGATTAGGTACACCATGTATGTCTGCTGCATAATTAATTAACTAATGCAGCCAACAAGCTAAAGACACCAATGGAGAAAGAACCAAAAAAGCAAATGAAACAAGTATATGATCAAACTAAATGATTGTTTTACCTTCATTGAATCTGTTGGCGTTCAAATCAACACCAATAATCCTTGAAGCGCCAGCAATCCGAGCACCTTCAGCAGCCTAATCATGTCAGGCAACAAAAATAATTTTAACATAAGTAGCAGCCTAGCATCAGAATTTAGAGATGGATTGGAAAAAAAAAAAAATCATCGTTTTGATGCATTAGAATAGAAACTTACAGCAAGGCCTACAGCTCCCAGTCCAAAAATGGCCACAGAGGAGCCTTTCTTTGGTTTTGCAACATTCAAGGTGGCACCAAGACCTACAACACGAAACCACATCCTCATTGACAGAAGGTAACAAAATCTTCATTTATATAAGAACAATTGAATTGGTGTTTTCAGTCAACCTGTAGAGATTCCACAGCTTAGGACACAAACTTTGTCAAGAGGAGCAGCAGGATTGATCTTGGCAACACAGCCAATATGAACCACTGTGTACTCACTGAAGGTGGAGGTACCAACAAAATGGTAAATGGGCTGCCCTTTAATTGAAAATCTTGACTTGCCATCATTCAGCATCACTCCTCGGTCCGTGTTGATCCGAAGAAGATCACACATATTACTCTCCTCTGATTTGCAATGCGGGCACTCCTTGCACTCTCCTGTGAAGACAGGAAGCACATGGTCACCAGGCTTGAGATCTGTCACACCCTCACCAACACTCTCAACGATCCTACACACCCCCAAAAGAAAAATGGAAACATAAGCAAAAACATCAAATCATTGACCCCAATTCATCAGTATCATAACAAACAAAAGCTTATCTATGTACAGCAAGCAATGGACTAATGGATCAAATTCATACCCTCCAGCTTCATGACCAAATATGCGAGGAAATACTGGGGTTTGCCCCTGCAATTTGAAAACCAATGTTTTAGTATCAATCTTTGCAAGCACAACTAGAAAAGCTAGCCCATAAACAGGAGATGCATAGTAATTAATTTTTTCAAAATTGAAAAAGCAATCACATACCTTGGCTTCCCAGAAATAAACATCAGTATGGCAGAGAGAAGTGAAGAGGATCTTCAAACGAACCTCCATAGCTTGAGGTGGTGCCACCTCCACTTCTTCAATCACCAGTGGCTTTCCAGCTTCCCATGCCACAGCAGCTACAAAACATCCATCCAATCACAATAAAAAGTAAATAAAAGAAAATTCGATGTTCATGGACAAATTAAGGCCTAGTTAAACTTAAGCTCAACCTTATAGTCCCTTTCTTTTTTTTTTTTTTTTGGGGTTAAAAAATAAAAAATAACCAGTCTGATGAGTGAAAGTTATTTAATTCATCCACACAATTTGATTTCACTTTCTGCTTGATGCAGATACAAACAAGCATTTCCAAGAAAAAACTCTTTTCTTTCTCTTTTCATAAAAGAAAAGGGAATTCCCAGAAATCAACAGTAATAAACCAACACTGTCAAACACTCCAAAAACAACCTAATTCCAAAATTTGTATATTACCTTTGCAACGTATGATCTGACCAGCAGTGCTTGCCATTCTTTCTTGTCCCAAATAACAAAAACACTTCTTGGATTAGCTTCCTTTGTTTCTCGAGTTATGAGGAAACAGTTTTGTCCTTGTTGGGTATTTATAGCAAACAGAATTCAAGTGCCATTTTCTACCGTGCCCGCATTGCCCTTCCAATGTCTTTTTCCGAAAATGGTTCCTCACTTTTGTTCCTTTTATTTCCACAACATTTGCTTTTCTCCTTCTTTATTCTATTTTATATTTTAAACTCACTTTTTAAATTTATTTGAAATATATTCTGGCCATCTTTTCCATTATCAAAAGTTAAAGAACATTTTATTTTCACAAGTCATCAGTTAAATTATAATTAATCCAATTACAATTCAACACACTCAATAAAAGTAGAAAAAAAAAACAGGGGTGTTTTGATATTTTCCCCTCTTCAAGTGGAAAGAGAAACCGGTTGTCGTTGCGGTCCGGGATCACCGCTTGTTTTGTTTGTATTTTAAAGCAGAATTTGACCGGGAGGTGTGACGATTTGGCAGAACCAAATCCAGAGGCGCCATGTTATGTTTGGGACCCGGTGCACGTCCCTGGTTTTCCATTTCAACTGCTGGTTTTGCTGTTTGGCATTGTTCCTAGTCGCTTGCTGATGCGTGAGATGAGTGGCTGGGTTGGCTTTTTAAATGTAAAAAGGTAGCGTATTAGTCATAACGCGGCATTTGGAGACAAGGCCAGATGTTTGCAAGACAAAAGGAGATTTTTTTTTCTTTTCCACGAGAGCAAATAATTACTTACTAATGAGATATTCATGTTATGCTACAGTAAAACAACCGTTACATATGTAGAATTAATGATTCGTATGTCTGTAGTATGAGTAGAAGATTTTTTATGATTAATGTAAATCGAATTTATACATTGAGCAAAATCATTTGATTTATATGTATTTATTAACAAAATATTTAATAATATTAACATAAAAATTTGAATTTAAATAATTGGAAGGCTCTTTCGAAACATTATTGAACTTATTTTATTTAAAAAATAAATTTTAAAATATGAAAAAATAACAAATAATTAGTATTATTTGTGCAAATATATAGTTAATTTCTAACAAAATTAATGATACATACACATATACATATATATATCATACTTAACTGATTCAAAGTACATAGAATAAATAGAAAAATATGAAAAAACACCTAAATTATATGAAATATATTGAAGTCAATAGATTAAAATAAAAATTACAATAAAATTGGTTTGGATAAATTCTAAATAAATATATATAAAAAAGCAAATAAAACTTGTGAATTCTTTTAGCTCATTGTTAATTTTTTTTAAAAAAAGTCAAACTATCTAAAACACACTTCTCTCTCTCTCTCTCTCTCTCTCTCTCTATATATATATATATATATATATATATATATATTAAAAAATAAAAAACTCTTTTAAGAAGCAACAAAATAATTTATTGTATAAATTATAATAATATATTTTAAAAAATAAAACACTAATGTTCGAAAATTTTAGTCCAAAATACATTTATTTTATTAACAAATAAAATTATATTAAAAAAAATTAATTCAATGAGAATTTTAATAAGAAATAAATAATTGAAAAATTAAATTTAAACAAAAAGAGTAATATATATAAGGTAAAAAATGCCAAGCGCCCGGATATGTATATATATGTAGAAAGAAACAAAGCCGAAAAAAAGAAGGAAAAAGGCCATGCCCGGTTGGCTCGTGCGACAGAGCTAGTGCGTTTGGGCTCGTGATTGCAAGCTCGCGCGCTAGGCTTGGGCTCCTTTTGTACCAAAAAAAAAAATCATCTGCAACTTCAAGCGAGCTCAAGGTCGTTGGAAGCTTCATAAAAAAATCGAAGGTCAAGTTTCGGACCCCTAGAAATTGAATTTCGACATCATTTTTTTCCTCAAACATCTCTAAATGATCGAATAAAGTCAATAAACATATCTAAAACTTTAAACATCATTTTATTATACATAAAAAAAAAACATAATCAAATCGAAACTTTTTTTTCTTTTTTGGCTCCGATCTACCTCTTCTAATTGTTTAATGGCTTAAAACCACCATGGACAAACTCATCTCTCAAAGATAAAAAAAAATCTAATGGATTTTCGCCGGCCAAAGTGATCTAAATAAGCTTGACCGACAATCTCTCTCTCCTCCAGCTCTCTCTTCTTTCCACCCTTCTTTCTCCACCTAGGGACCAAAATGGATGAACAAACAAAGATGTGGATTGAAAATATCGAGGATCAAAGTGCAAAAAGTTACACAACTTTCACCCACCAAAATCTAAAAAATCACGAAAAAGCTATCCACAAGTGTAACCGAGTCCGGTGCTACAGTAAGTGAATAGTGAAATGTTCACTTCTTTTAGTTTTATAAAGAATAAGACCTACCAAATTTGACATGGTAAAGCATTTCTTTTTGGATAGTGAAAAAAAAAGACAACATAATTATTAAATAGGCAATGCAACGAGGTATCACCACCCATTACATCGGATAAAAACTAATAAAAATAGTAAATCAACAAAACAGATTGAGTCATCTACACTTACAAAAGATTTTTGAATGCACAATGAATGTAAAGTCCTAATTCAATTATATAATAGAGAGGAAACGAGTAATAAACTAGACTCCATACATGTTATTTTATTATCGACTTTAAAGAAACACCAAAAATCATGTTAATGTGACTAATAGTTCTATAATGTTTTGTAGAAATCTACTTTAATACAACCCTAATGTTATCCTAAATAGCCCCCAAACTTAGATTTAGAACAACCCTCCTAAGTTGCCCCGCATGACATAACAACATTTATACAAAGTAATTTGATCTCTTTTTCACTACTATTACAATTCGAAAAGGAACTGCAACGCCAAAAAAAAAATTATTTGCGAGCTCATAGAATTGCAAATTAATAAAAAAAAATTATTAAAACCGAAGAACATGTTCTTAATGCTAATAAGAGTAAATTATTAGAGCTTAGATCTCCTAATAGATCGTAGTAGAGTAGAGTGCAAAACCGGAAATCATGCTTACATGATAATAGTAATAAAAAGCTAACCAAGTGTGCTTTCGCCTCAACCTCATAAAACACTTAAAAAAAAGTTTAGAGAAACATAAATTTAGAATTTGGCCACAAAACATCCAATAAAAATGACAAGCAAAGAAAGCTCTAAAAAGGAATGCAACTACAATTTGAGCAATACAATAGATGAAGTAAAACATACCCAAATCACTAAAATACGATTTACATTGATTAAGCACCAAACCTAAGCCATTTCTTACCCCAAACCAATAACCCAACTTTATCTCTTAATGAAACCATCAAATAGGTTCTAGGTATCTTACAATTTTAGTGATCTAATATAAATCACAATAAAAAAAATTTAAACTAACAATCCAACTTTGTCTACTAATCAAAACATCAAACAGGTTGTAGGTATCTAATGAAAACTACAACTACGGTTATACCTTAAGCATTCTCTTCAAACCCTCGAGCACAAAAGGCAAGACCTTTGCCATGAAGGTCTATTGAAGCTAACTTCTTGAGATAAAAACAACGAGATGATGTTAACGAGCAGAGAGGGAAGGATGAGCTAAAACTACACCCATACTCTCTCCTCTCCATCTCCTCCATCATGTCTTCACCCTCTTCAAAAATCCTCATTCTCTCTCCTTAACAATCTCCTCTCTTCCACACATGTCACTTCCTCCTTCAAATTCAACATCACTTCCTCTTTCAAAAAACCACATGTAATCTCTCCTTTCCATCTCCTCCATCATGTCTTCACCCTCTTCGGAAAATCCTCATTCTCTCTCCTCAATAAACTCCTCTCTTCCACACACATCACTTCTTCCTTCGAATTCAACATCACCTTCCCCCTCCTAAAGCAAAACCCGGACTCCCCGTGAACCACCAAGTTAAGGTTGACACGACATAAACGAAGAAAGAGAAAAAAAAAAAAGAAAGAAACATAAGGGATAAGAAGTCCTTCATTTTCCTCTTTTATTTGGCTTTTGCATATAACCATAAAGGATGAGGCCCAAGGTAAGCTATAACGAGTAGGGCAAAAAATAGTGATGCTAGCCAAGCCTAACACATAACACACTAAATACTATAACTTCCTCAAGTCATGAAAACCAATATAGCCCGGTGAAAGCCAACGTGCAATAGACTAAATTTAGTTTTGCTTTGGTTCATATTGTATAAGGTATGTTCTCTCATCCTTCAACATCTTTAATTGCGATCTCTTAATTAAAAAAATTAGGATAAGCACTACAAGTTCTAATTTTTACAAAACACAACCCCACCCGACCAAAGCAATGGATGGAAAAAAGTAAAAAGAAATTGAAGATAGAAAAAGGGGCAAAAAATCGAGAAAGAAAGAGAAAGCAAAAAAGAGAGGGAACAGGAAACATACCTTTTTTTAGATGCCAACAAATAACGGGGCTAAAATCCATTGCAAAAGAAAGACAATGCGCAACAAAATAAATTAAATAACAAAATGCGAGCACCACAAAGGACCTACAAAGGAAAAAATAAACCCAAAAAAGATAAGACAAAAAAATAAGAACCCTAAAAGCAACGAAGGCAAAGAAAAGAGCAAAGATTAAGAGGTTTGAAGAATGAAACAGGACAAAGGGAAAGGGAAAAAGCGTAAGCAAAGATAGCAAAAGAGGAGAAAAAATTGAGAGTTTGATCAAAAGTAAATGCAAATGATGGTAGCTATAGGATCGATGAGGAAGAACTAACCCCCTTAACCGAAATGGAAAAGATAAAATAGAGGAACCAACCCATTCGACTATAATCAAACCGAAACAAAAAAACCAAATGAAGGTAGAGCAAAACCAACCACCCCTTCAACTGAATTGGAAATCATAAAATAGAGTAACCCATTCCACTACAAACAAACAAAAAGTAAGAAAACAAAAAAGAAAAAGAATCGAGACATGAAACGAAGGAAAACTATGATGAAAACAATTAAGAAAATGGG